ATAAGACAATTGTTTTGTATTTCAAGTTTAAATATGCTAGTAAAGCATTATCTAATTAAATATGTGCTAATTTGCATACATTTGCAGAACAGAAATCTGAACATTGGTTCATAATTCCCATTTGATTTCATCATATTAGAGTTAAAGGTTTTTGCAGAGAGGATTTGAGATTTCTCTTTTATCATAAATCAGAAAATACTGTCAACAGACAGAAAACAAACATTTTCACCATGTTTTTAGGAGTAAATGGTATGAATCAGTGTGAATGAGTAACTGAACATATTTTGAAAGCTTCAGAATATAGATTAGATAGAAATAAAACTGTTTAGTTTGGTGTATGTAAGAGAAAAAAGTGCTTTAAAGATATGGACTGAAATCTAGAGATGTAAATAGATTGTGTAATTAAAATATTACTTCACTAATCACAGTTTAACAACGGTATTTGTAGTGAAACCGTAGTTAGTTTTCGTAAGGGAGTCGCGACGGAAATAGTGCACGCTTTTATTATGATTACAGTAACATGCCGACAGCACAAAAACACGGCATTTATGGTGTTTTTCATCGAGCAAGTCTTCGGCAAGAACCGCCATACAGATTACAATTTAACTTAAAAGCTTATGAAGACCTTCGTGAATCCGGACCCAACACTCTCAAAGGAGTTTACGTTTAGTGTCGAATTCGCAGGATCTCATTAGTATGTTTTTGTACCGGGGGACCATCATGTTTAGTTTTTATATTAAAAATTGTATAAATTCATACGAAATCACCAACCCCTACTGGGGTTTAATAACTATAACTCATTCAGAATGTTCACCTACAGTACATACTGTCAAAATAAACTGCGTTCACGTCACGTCATAATTACCGTAATTCCAAGATGACAACACGTGACGTTCTAAGAGCTACGACTCAGACCATGTGACCAATGTACCACCTGACCACCACAAGATTAATTTAGGCACTTCTTTGGCACTACCTCTGAGTAGAACATCACGTGTTGTCATCACAGAATTACGGTAATTATGACATAGCTTGAACGCAGCTACAGTACGATTTGTAGTATGCAATTTAGTGCATAGCCGCTGCTAAAACGGCGACAGACTTCAGATCATGAACTTCCTCAATGTCTGCCTCATTAATATTCATAGTGTTCGTACAGTCGCAATAACGTTCACATTTATTGTACATTTGTATTTTTTAACAGTCGTTATGAAAATACAGTACCAGTTTTAGACAACTACCCAGCAAACACAGAACATTCCCCTAACGTTAGTTTTTGGGTTTTTTTTTTGTTGTTGTTTGTTATTGTGAACCAAGAAATAATGTTCTAGGAACGTTCTTTTTAGGTTTTATTTTTTGCAACCATAAAATAACATTTCCAGAATGTTGCAGGGTGGTTATTTTTTAATAACCTAAAAATAATGTATAAAGAACGTTCCCTAATGGTTATTCTTAGGTTATTTTTTATAACCCTGTAAACTATCTTTCCGATGAAAACGTTACCGATGTTTTTGTGTAATGGCCTATACAGAGAAATTCGTTTAATACAGCATTTACTAAAATACTGAAATTAGATCATTAAAAAAACGTTTAAAATTATAACATTAAGCCAGGGTTCGGCATAGAGTGATAACAGAAATCATAAATTTGTGGGTTTGTTTCGTCTTCATTTCCTGCCTGCGCTTCGCTCGCGTAATTTAAAAATTAACGGTAATTTCGTTTTACTGGCCAATTGACTCGTTCGTCTATCGATCTAATGCTTCAAATTAATATAGTTATAAGAGTAAATATAATTTCGGAGGGATTTAAAATACAAGTGTTTTGGCGGGGTTCCCTTGGTAAAATTCGCATTCCAGGCAAAAACCGCTGACCTGGCAACACTGGCTGGATAATTACTGACGTCCAGTGGGGTAATCATATCGGTGTGAAAAGGTTAGAGGAACGTTAAAATAACGTTCTACAAACCAAAAACTAACGTCCTATTTCCATTAAGAACATTTTCCTGGCTAACCAAAAACAAACCTAGCTGGGTAAAGCGGGATTACGATCAGGGCTTAAGCTGTCAATCAAATTCAAAAAAATCAAACCGTCAAAATCTAACCGCCAAAACCAAACGGTCATAAATATGCAAATGAGGGCATTCACACAGGCTTTACATGTGTAGAGTGTGAAATCAGTGTGAAATCGTACTCACCTGGTCGTGGAAATACGGAGATGAGGCTGCCAGCACACACCGGTGCGCGCGGAACACCTGACCCTGCACCTGAATGGACAGGTCACACAGCTGACCCTCCTCGCGCTGCCGGTTCAGATTCTCCAGGACCGACGCGCGGGCGCTGGGGAAACACACCTGCAGCACCGGGCCTAGCGGAGCGCTGCGGCCGACGAGCTGCTCCATCCTGCCGGCGAGAGAAACACCCGCGACCGCGGAGGAGGTGAGAGCCGGAGCCGAACCAGGGTCTGATATCACGGGTATATGCTCACAGATCAGATCCGCTCGACCGGATCGAACTAGCATCTCATAGCAGGCTATAACAACACACCAAGAGCTTATGAGCGCTTATAAACGCACGCATGAGAGCAGATGATCATGTGTGTTTACATCAACATGCGACAAAGATCCCATCCAACACGACTCGGCTATGCGCACAGAAACCGCTAGCTTTAATTACAGACATGTATCCGATGTGTTAATCATGCGCTGATCAGTTTAACGAAATGAAATATGAATGTGTTTGTAATCTCACCTGCGTTCACTGTGATGGAGCTCTGCGGAACAGAAATAGAGACACGCCCCCTTTACGAAGACCCGCCCCTCATAATATACAGTACAGTCTGTGTAGTTTACAAAGTGTAATTATGGTGTTCACATAGATGCATTCAAAATGGCGCGGCGCTTGTTTTATTATAGAATAGAGTCTATAGGTGCATCAATGCACCGTCCATGTGACAGTGTCACCGCTACTGCTGTGAGCGGAAGGGCGGTGTCATGAATATTAATTAGGTTACGCCACAGGATGCTGTATCAGGAAGATTGTGCGTGCGTCATTAATATTCATGAGCTGACTCGCGCAGTACTGCGGTCCGCGTGCGCCGCTTGCTGTCTGACTGGGTTTCACAAGCATCCTCCCGTGAATAAATCTTTAAAACATCCCGCGTTATAGAATCATTATTGAACACATTTAATTTAACGTTTTTGTATTTTAGAAATTAAAGTTTTTTTTTTTTTTACTCGCTGTATTCCCCTACCTGTTCTTGTTCGCTGCTGAATTATTTAGGTCTTGCGAAAACGAAACAAAAAAACATAATTAGATTATTAAAATGATGTTAATTAACTAGATCGCTCTATGTAAAATGTCCCAGATTGAACCAAAACGGCTGACTTTCATCTGTAGTCCCAGAGCAGGTTGGCGTTTGGAAAAAATAAATTAAAACCGCTCTTGTTAAATCTTTCAGATCAGTTGTTTAGAGCGATCTAGTTAATTAGCATCATTTTAATAATCTAATTATGTTTTTTTGTTTTGTTTTCGCAAGACCTAAATAAAGGGACTATGGGAAATGGAGTTCAACACATGTAACACAGAAACGGGAGAGCGCCCTCAAGTGGCCAGTCCAGGGCACCACAACCAGACACTGACAAAACATTTATTTATTTATTTAATGTAATACTTTAGTTATTAACTAGTTGCTTGTATATTACTATGTTAGCCGTTTATTAGTACTCATAAAGCACATACTAGTGCATTATTATGCGTGACCGTATTCTACATCTTACCCTATACCTGAACAGTAATTAATAGTTTATTTAGGCAAAAGTCAATAGTTAAGTTAATAGTGAGAATTGGACATTCTATATATATATGTATGTTAAAGGAGAATGTATGTCAGGTCATGATCAGCATGGCTGACAGAACAAATTCATTGTTATTAAATGGATGCCACCTTATTGGGACAATAAAGCCCTCCCTAACCCTACCCGATACTTTATCTTCAACTTTTTGATTGTTTCCTTCATTTTTATTGAAAATAAATGCGTTTCTGATGTGATATGAGATTTGAAAAGGAAGAAAAAAAGTT